GTTGCGGGGGTGATAATTACTGGGATTACAACAGTTAGGGATGATAAAACTTAATCCTTCTCTTCCCTGGTACAGACCTGATAACATCACTCTTCTGAAGACTACTGTACTACAACGAAATTCCCCATTAATACTGGTATAGTTTTACAAGGTTAAGAGCTATACTGGCTATCAACCTGATAGAAGGCAACAAAACATTTAAATACTGTATTTGCATGCAGAAATGTCGTATTGCCATGTCAAAGCTTCCACTGAGCAGAAAGTCCTACCAGCAGAGCAATGTGGGATTGCAACAGTTTGTGCAAGTACTGGTGTTGAAAAAGCAGTGATCATCATGAAGAAGTTACCCTTCACTTGTGCAGTGGCGACACTGGTGCAAACAGTGAAATTCTGTGTTACTATGCTGTGAGACTCTTCACCAAGCAGACACTCATTTCCACCTTTTCCCAGATACCCTATCTTCCTTATGCATTTGTGTCTGGATGAGACCATGTACTTGGTTTTGATGCACAATTGCACAGGCAGACAGTGCACAGAAGCATAAAGGAAGCTTTGAATTCACAGCTAATCTGGAACCCTGGCATCCTATGCCAATGCAGCAGAATGCCGCTAACTCATGTTAATGGAATTATTGGAACTAGGAGGAAACTCCTCAAAGAAATAAGTCCTAAAAATGTCTGCATACGCATTATCTATAGAAGTCCTACTTGATATTTTTTTTGGAAAAAAATTACATGGAGAGCTTCTAGGAATATGAATATATAATACCCTGAACCTGTACAGACATTTCAAGAGAAGTAAATCTAGTGAACAATTACGTTTAATATTCTAATATCTGCATCTGAGATTAAACTCAACCCTTCTGGTTTATATATTGTTTTAGACATGGATAATGTCTACTTCCAAAGGTAAGATTTATGCACATGTAAGAAGTGTATGGGTGGAGAAAAAGTCCCTTGCTTATTTTTTCCACAAACCACTTACAGTGTTGCCTTGCTTGACGATGTTAATTCATTCCATTGAAACACATTGAAAACCGTTCAATCGTTCCAATAGGCTGAATACCTGCTTGTCCAGCAAAGATCCTCCATATGGCGGCCACTTTCGGTGCCTTTAAAGCGAGGAACCCGTCCTAGAAAACAGCGGGGGGCCATTTTCTTCAGCTGGTGCCCATTTTGAAACCCGACGATCAGCTGTTTGCTGATCATCGTAAAGCAAAAATTGGTTCCTGAAGCAGGGAACCGAGCATCGCACAGCGAAAAAAACCCATTTAAAACATCAATGTAAAGCGGATTTGTCGTAGAGTGGGGTAATCGTCCAGCGGGTCACAACTGTATTTGTTATGTGTATTATGGTGCTACCATACATACATCACCAAAATCTACTTGTTTTAGTGCAATTTAAATAAAATTAAGGTATAAATCTAACTTTCCTCCTTCCACAGTTCTTTCTTTACTATTTCTGTAAATTATTAATTTTAATTGTTTATAGATATGAATTTAAGACATTTCATCAGCTACTGCCAAAAAATCAAAGCTATGTTGCCGTGAGTAGTATTTTGAAACTAATTTTTTATCTCATCTGCAGTATCTAAAGACAGAGGAATAGCAGGGACAGATAAAACTGGATTCTGCTTAATTATTCTGTGTTTCACTTTAGGCTTTCAGTCTACATAAACGAATGACTATATTTCACCCACTTCCACAATGTTAATGGAATAAGATCATGATTAGATTAAAATACAGATTTTAAAGATTGTTTTAATTCACTGTAATAAGATCACATAACAGTTCTTAAATTCACATTAATTTATGACACTGGATTTTGTAATATACTGTATGACATGTATTTCAATATAGTATACTTAAAAAGCCTTATATTTCTTAACATCACTCATTTCAAATTACTCCTCTTATAACGGATGTATCTTAAGCAATCATTTTTTTATAACCTGAAGAGCATTTCAGATACCATACTGTATTTAGTTTCCAGAGTAAAATAGAGATAGCCAAGGAAAGGTCATAATTACAAGGAACTAGAGATGGGCACAAATCGCAGTTTGGACTGGTTTGGACCAGCATCTGCAGGCGCCACGTACTTTCCTCCCCTGCTTCCTCTGGATTATCCTCCACTCACTGGCAGCAGCATGGGCTTTCCTGCCCCTCCTCCTTGCCCGAGTGGACGATCACCTGAGGAGGTGGAGGAGGGAAGCTGTGCTGCCACCAATGAGCGGGTGATCACCTGAGGAAGCAGAGGAAGGAAACAAGCTTCTGCCTGTGAGAGGAGGTGGGGGAGGGAAGCACATGGTGCCTGCGGAACACCTGTGCAAGCACCACACTGAACCAGGCCAAACCACATTTTGTGCCTATCTCAACAAGGGACAGATTAACCACTGCAGTCAGTATATGTGTGTGTTTGTGTATGCGTGAGAGAGGAACAGTGTCTGGATGAGACCATGGCTATATGTTTCTGCTTCAGCTAGTTGCCATATTTACATGTGTGTATGTGGAAAAGGTCTGAGAATGTATGGGTGTGAATGAGAAATATATAAGCGAATGACTGAATGAATGTATCCTACATGTATGAATTATTGCAACCTGCTATATGTGGGGCTATCTTTGAAAAACAGCTCAGAAACTTCAGCTGGTTCAAAATGCTACAGCCAAGCTGCTGACTCGGGCTGATTACAGAAATCATGTAACTTCCCTGGCTGCCAGTTTGTTTCCAGGCCCAATTAAAAGTGCTGGTTATGATGTATAAAGCCAAAAACTAGTTAGCTGTAAGCTATTTGAAGGACCACATCTTCTTACATGAGAAATTCAGGTGAGATCCATCTCTCTTTGTCCTACTGCCTTCAGAGGCAGTGGTGATAAAAATGTGTAAGGGGACTTTTTTCAGTGGCTCTTCTTAGGTTTGGAAGTTTCCTCCCTCTGGAGACCAGGTTAGCCCCTCTCTGTTAGGTTTCAAATGATAGGTTCCTTTCTCTTTAGACAAACTTTTTGCAATTATGTTGCACATTCTTTTTATGGTGGTTTTAAAATATGTTTTGAAACAATTTTAAAATTATTTTTATGTTTAGGCTTTTAAAATGTCGTAATTAGTGTATTTTTGTTTGCATATGTTTTTAATTTATTTGTGAGCTGTCTATGGTTCCTATACTGTAAGAAAGGAGGCATAAAAATAACAAATAGAGAGATAGATATTTAACTCTTTGGTCCTATGATGTATGGATGTGGTTTAAGGATCAATGGTACAGTTAAGTTAGAACTCTCCAACACAAACAAAGCATTGTCAGGCTCCTGTCACCATGGTGCAAAGCAGGAAAGAGTTGCATTTGCTGATCTTTTTTCTGCCTGGTCTTCTTTGGGGGTGGGTGGGTTCTTCGAAAAATCATTTCCTTTCAGTGTAGCAGGACTTTATCTAAATGTTCCTCCCAGTTGGGAGTGTGATCAAAGGCTTAGAGAGGTATTTAAATCTATACTGTATCACATTATATAGCAATGATACATATCACTTTCTTGTTTTGTTATTTCTAATATGATACTGACATTTCTTTTAGATAACCTTCACTGTATTTTATGCTGCTTTGGAAGAATAATGTTCTACAATTTGTAAAAATATATGATTTGTTTATAATAACATATAAGCCTTTTAAATAAACAAATTAAGACAAACAAAACCAGGGCTCTTGAATAAACTCCAGTTTAAGGGTGTTAGGTCTTTTAATCAGATTCTGGTTTCCATTTAGCGTTGTTAGATAATATCTGCAATTTGCACATTTCCTCCCCTATTTTTCTTTTTAATCAGAGAGGAGATATTTAGACCTGGAAAGATTTGATAACATGCCTCTCAATTATATGACTCCAAATTCAAATACAATTGTTAGTCTCAACTAGGATGAGTCCACTAGATCAACAGAATTTGCAAAGGCAACATTAAAGGGAAGAAAAGTGCATGTGAGAGAAAAACGGGGGTGGGGTGGGGGACAAAATGCTACAGCACTTTAAATATTAACAACTTTTGTTGTAGTGTGTGCTTCTCTGGTTCAAGATCCACTTCTTCTGGTACATGGAGTAATCTTACTATGTTGTCTTTATTTATACATATGCCATGAAAGGCTGTAACTGGGTGAAGGTACAGACAATAGGCTAAGTTATAATCCATAGCTGATACAGGAATGGGACTATTGAGATGCTGACTGCAGACCACAATAAGCTGCCAATTTTTTTCTGGGACAGAGGTCAGAATATGTCAGGCAAACTCACCATTTTGTAACTGTAAGATATTACAGCAAATTGAGGTATTAATGTATGTGATGTGTTAAGAAACATTGGTCTTTATTTAGATGCTCTGGAAGTTTTTTATATATCCAATGTTTGCTGTCTCCCTCTCAAGTCTCCCTTTGCAATTCCTTTTTTCTACAATAAATACTTTGAGACATATAAAGGAGCAACTTGGGAGGCTGAAGTGTTTTGAATCTGGTTTCTCTGTGTTACTAATCCTGATGTCAGATTTGTGTCAATTAACTTAGCAAATTCCCATTGATTCAGTATTTATTTATTTATTTATTTATTTATTTGATTTATATCCCGCCCAACTGGTATATTTATACCACTCTGAGTAGGTCTACTTCAGTTCTGTGAAAGGGTCAACCATATTTACTAATTTGTCTAATGCTCGTTTGCGTATTTATGAAAAATCCTTCTTTTTCAACAACATTATTAGCATAATTGGCACAAGAACAGTACAAATTATCAAGGGTAGCATATATTTGATATTGATGTAAAACCAATGAAGTTTGAATAAAACAGATTTTCAGGAAATGAGAGAACAAGCAAAGGTCAGGGATACATAACATATATAATTATATAAAGGCTACAAATTACCAGAGTTTTCCATCTTATTAACCATGCTTACTTCTAAAACTGTACAGATTACCGTTTACTATTAAAATAGATTATCATTTCCAAAGAGGTATTTATACTTCAGTGAACTCATACCTGGGTTTCAGGAATAATGGGACTATCCTCAGGAGAAATCCTGAACAAGGTAGATAAAGGTGATGATACAATGACTGGATTTGGTCTCACAAATCCACTCAGATCACAACTGGGAATGTCATTCTCTTCCTTCTTCATGACAAGAGTGTCCATTACATAGAAGACATTCCATGGTATCCAGACTGTGTGGTACTGAGTAAGGAATGGTGATCGTTCAAAGACCAGCGTTAAAGATGCACCACCGTTTGCTAGCAAATCAAACCTAATGCAAAACAAATATTTTTTGAGTCACACACCTTATATTTACATTCTGTCCACAAACTGACTAGGCAGAATCTTACTTGCCCATTCCACACATGCGACTGTCCATTGACTAAACACTTGGGCTTTTTCTGAATTGCTACTTGTCCATCTCCATAGAGCAGTTGTTTCTTGGCCAGCTGTGTGGAAGTGCTTGGGACCACTGATAGCCACTATGGAAGGAGTGCTCCCAAAATAACTTGAACCCTCCCAATGCTCAGCTTCTGAAAGCTCCCAACGCTAGACATAACTGGCCAGGAGATGGTTGTGCTATGGAGGTGGCCAAGACTATGTTATGAAGAGCAGCTCTGTTCTTTTTCCTCCACCTATTCCTTCTCTCCATGAATATTGCTGTGTGGTAGTTGGATGGCTTATGCCGGCACGTTATGTCCGATAAGTGTTACAGTCTGCAACTGTAAACAGAATACTAGTAATTTAATTTAACTGTAATTACTCTTACTTCCGTAACATTTCTATTCAAATGTTACTGAAATTCAAATGAAATAAAATTGCCACAGTAGCTAAATTCTCACATGTAAAGGCTGAAATCTTATTCCATAACTTACTCTGTGTAAGGCCGATGATATCAGCAGCTGCAGCTATTTTTGCATTTTCCCTGGAAGATCCCAAGGCTACTGTGAGATTCCCTTCATCATGGGGAAGCCACTAAGGGTTACTGGATAGGAAGGAAAATTTTAAGTTCTGAAAATTGCCAATGGTAGGAGTTGTACCCTAACTCAGTGGTCCCCAACCTTGGGCCTCCAGATGTTCTTGGACTTCAATTCTCAGAAATCCTGGCCAGCAGAGGTGGTGGTGAAGGCTTCTGGGAGTTGTAGTCCAAGAACATCTGGAGGCCCAAGGTTGGGGACCACTGCCCTAACTGGTGGGGGCAATATTCAAATATTAAATATACCCCCACTAGCTTCCTGCCCAAAGGGATCCACTGAGAATCTTGAGAACTTCAGGGAGAAACTGGAAATTTGTTATTTCTGAAAAATCGCCACATCTGTAGTTTATCTCTGGGAACAGGATTTGAACCACATGGTTTTAAAAGTCTACCATATATTTCAAAAAATAGTCTAAAATGGTGACCCTTACATTTTTCCTAAAATATATGTATTATTAATCCACAAATTCAACTTTTGTTGTAACAGAAAATTTATATGCCAACCTCAAAAAGCATGGCAGCAGACTTACATTCCATCTTGACGAGTTATTGTGTATCCATAGTCTGGATAATGGAAAAAGGAAACATTAACTCCAATTAATGGTGTCCCATCTGCTGTTAATACTTGGCCCCTTATGACAGATGCAAGACTGTAGGGAAAGACAAAATTAGAACATTCACTGTTTTCACAGTTCACTGCTTGCATTATAACATACAAAAGCATATCCCATTTAATTCATATTCTCAAACACATTACATCACTGCTCCATTTCAAGCTTGCATTTATTTACTCTCTGTCTAAAATGTTATATTTCAGGGACAGGTAAGCTTTGGAGACTTGGGGGGAATCAAATCTCTACTATAACTCCTCAATAGGTCCCACAGAGCTCCCCAGTTTTGGTGACTGAAAGTAAACAGGAACTGACCATATCTGGGATCCAACCAAGTGAAAACTAATGGTTTTAGAGCCCCCAGAAACAGAAAATCACACTTTTGTTGCTTTTTGTTTTGTTTTTTAAGAATTTAGGAGCTCTTCAGAACTCTTGGGGGACACATACTGTATGGCCAATGGCCCACACTTTGCCCATCCTTTCCTTAAGTGTTTCATTACATGGCTAAATTCTGAAAGTGCCCCGTGCTTCACCTGTTATAATATACATGTGACTGGCTACAGTTGTTAAATGTACCCTCAATGATACACCCAGTGTTGTGAAAACATCTACTGCTTACAAATTTACAATGCAAAATTAGATACTGCATTCAAAGGTCTCTCTGAATTCAATGGGGCTTATTTCATTGTGACTATAAAGAAAACTTTTTTATTGTGTTCTCACTATACCGCACTGTAAGAATCTTCTTAAATGTTAAATGTACTCTATGATTTGCCACAAAAGGAATGGGTGGTATTTGGATGCATCCCACTGCCATGCAAAATTGTTCGATTGTATACAAAGGAGCTTTTAAAATTGCAACCAAAGCATTGTCGATCAGTATTCAAAATTAATAAATTAGCAACAATGCACTAAAATTATAAACTCAAGGTTTTCCTTCTAAACCTACTATCTTTTGCACTTTCCTAAAGCAAAGTGTTTTGCCAATTAATTTTTAGGCAATCTGTAAGCCTGCAGGGGCTGGAAAGTACAAAATTTAAACAAAGAACATTTGTATAACAACTTTTAATCAACCGCTGTGCCCAACTACATTAATGCAGCCAAATTACTGCAGACACAGGAGATCCTACGTAAATCATCTACTTTCACTCAGTAAGGCACTGGACACCTGCTTGCACTTACTAGCTTATTTTCAGGTATGCAACTGCTCTGCAAAGCACCAGGCAAACAGCTTATGCAATCACACCATCATGCAGTTAACAGTTCTATTACATTAATTCATAATTTATATTATTTACTGAGCTGAGCTTTAAAAGTGCATCACTACCTTCCTTTTTGAGGCGTTTTCATCACTTTGATACACTTCCAACTGTGCTAACCCAAATCAGCCAGGTCAGTGAAGATTTATATAATCCTTAATGGAATGCCCTGTGAGACCTAGACACCACGTACAATAAAAGCTGAGTGAAGCAATGTAACTATCTGACATCTTGTATGGAACAGTCATACAAGCACTACATTAATCAATCTCAAATGTTGTCATTTTTCATCCACTCTGGAAACAGAATCCAGAGTCAGGTACCACTAAAAGGCCCTTAAAATATCACTTTAATGATACTTAAAGTATCACTGAGTTCATAAGTCAATGGTGGAGTCACCTTTTATTGAAAGGGCTTTCTCCAGGAATGACATGGGTGCTGTCCGATCCTATAAGAAAACTGATCCGGTCATAAAAAGATTTAGCAGCTTGCTGAGATGGAGATTGCTGGCTTTGGCTAATAATGTCTTGTGGGTCAGGCAGTCCTCGACAGTAGGGCTGGCTTTGGCAGGAACTCTGCAAGCAGCAGTCAGGATCCATGCAGTCAATTAATCCATCTACAGACAAAAAAGGCAGAAGAAAAGGAGCAATACTTCTTCCCATTCTTTTCACCTAATGGCAATTAAAAACAACTACCATAGTCAGCAGTCTCTGCCATGTAACAAGCAAAAAAACCCTAGAAGTTTAAACTAAACAACACAAACAAACCTGGTTTTATTCCAAACCCTTTCCAAACTACAGGTCTCATGCTAATCAACAATGTGAAAGCAACATGGAACTGAGTTCATGTTACAAACAGCACATGGGAACATAGCAGACACATGAATTGGAATAGGATAGAAACAAACATCAATACAGCATCTTATGTATTTTAAAATCTAATCAAAAACAAAATTGCACTAAGAGGTAGAGAAAGACTGAAAACCACACAGAGAAAAGATAAAGTTCCCAGGCATATGTGGTGACTAAAATTTCAGAAGAATCCATCAGTCTGGAATTGGAAAGTTAGACAGAATGTTTTGACTACAGGGATTTATGAAATTCTTCTCATCACTACTAGAACATGGAGAAGAACAAATCTATGGAGCAATTACAAAATAGATTGTGGTCATTTACACTCCACTTTTGGCTACTACATCAGGCCTCTTCTTTATGGTTCACACGTGTCATTCTGTAGACAGAAGTAGCCCCATCTTCCCCTCTATGAGGGTTTGAGTGCACAAACACAACTAGTGTTAACTACACAAATAACTGCAGTACTAGGGTACATCTGGAATAGAGAAAAGCAACCATGCCTCTTGAGTAGAAATGATACCACTAATGGCAAAGTAGAAATGGAATCTGAGAAATAACCCTTTTATGGGTTGTCAATGACAACTTGTAATTGGTCATTTTTCGGGCATTAGAAAATATTCAGAATACTTACATGTAGAGCTCTAGCCTCACATCCTCCTGCATATGGAGAGTGATGAGACTGAAGAGGGAGAGGAAAAGCTCTGCAAACCATAGAAGCCACCCATGCTTTGCTAGGACTCTAATTTCAAGTTCTGAAAACTCACACAGAGAGCCCTATTGATAGCAGAGGCCTGTCATCCTCCATGTGTACAAGGAATAACAGAAGTGATGATGAAGAGTATCCAAATACTGTACATATTTTCTAATGCTTTAATATGGCAATTGTTTCATAAATTAATGATTCATGAGGTGGCCAAGTTACTCCCCTCTTCCTCTGACTGTGTATCTTTTTCACTTTGTATGTGCTACAGACATACTGGGATATCCAGTGTGGTGTAGTATATAGAGTGATGGACTAGGACTAAGGAGGCCTGGGTGTGAATTGCTACTCAGTTGTGGAAGCTCACTGAGATGTGGAACTGGTAAAAAAAAAGCCACTCACATATCTCACCTTGAAAGTCCTATTAGGGACACTATAAGTTGGTTCTGACTTGATAACAACAGACATACTGCAAATCGTAATTATGATGGCAATAATCATTTTGCTTCAGACAGATACAGAATCACAGAATGACAAAATAATGGAGTTGGAAGAGGCCTATAAGGTCATCAAGTCCAACTCCCTGCTCAATGCAGGAATCCAAATCAAAGCACATCTGACAAATGACTGTCTAATTTTCTCTTGAATGCCTCCAGTGATGGAGCACTCACCACCTCCCAGGGTAATTGGTTCAATTGTTGTACTGTTCAAACAATTAGAACAGTTAGTTTTCCCTGATATTCAAGTGAAATCTAGCTTCTTCTAACTTGAGTCTATTATTATGTGTCTTGGACTCTGGAATGATTGAGAACAGGTTCTGCCCCCTCCTCTTTATGCCACTTTGAGGGAGGCCATGAAATCATCCATGAGAAGCCAGGCCTTTTTCGCTGTGGCACCTATACTTTGGAATCAGCTTTTGACTGAGCTGTGCTTGGTTCCCTCCTGACAGAGTTGTGGTATTACCAGGAGGCACTAGGTGGCGCTAATCAGTAGAATTCCCCAGAGAGATGAAGACGCCGAGCAATAAAGCAGTGTTGATAGCAGAATAGTTGTATTATTTACAGAATATATACATACATGTACAGCTTAGTCCTTGTTTCCAGTCCCAAAGTCATACACAGCAGTTTCCACAGAGTTCAATGCATAAATCAGAGTCAAAGTCCTTATAAATTAGTTCAGCAGTCAAATACCATATGTTCAGTCCAGTAGCCAGAGTTCTTCTTCCAATATACAGCATGAAGACATGGTTTCTTCCAGGATACTCTAGCACAACAACATGACGACAGCAATCCACAATAACACCAACCCACACCACCACAGAGTGTATTAACACCAACCCACACCACCACAGAGTGCATGTGCTAGGTCTGCTAGCTTTATCCCAGGGTTAGCCAATCCTGGGATTGCTCTCTCAGCTGTTACAATTTAATCAGCTGGATAAATTCTAGCTTTGCTTGTTTCTTTAGTAACGATCCTTACAAATACTTATTGCATAGTACAAAACTGTATTTAACAATTCCTCCAGGTTTCTCTGAAACCTGTCACCTCCCTTCTAACATTTTGAAAGCTACTGAAAATGCTGCTTTTCAGAGAGGGCTTTCCATGCAACCTGGCTTGATTCTTATGCCTCCTACTTTGCGTTTTATTTGGAACCTATGCCTCTTACGTTATGCTGTGCTTGATGGTTATATTGATGATTTTATTCTTTCTGATTGTGTTTTGTTTTACCTAACACTGTAAACATTGAACTAATGGGGTGGTACAGTACAGCCATCCTCCTTGAATTTATGAAAAACAGTGGTTCTGGACAATGTTACTCCTCCTCCAACTGTCTGGCACTTCAGCCATCATCCTTGAATTTATGAAAAACAGTGGTTCTGACAGTACTTCAGCCAGTTCCTTCAATACTCTTGGAGGCAGCTCATCGGGCCGTGGATATCTGAACTCATTCAAAGGGATATTTCTTGACTATCAATCTCAAATTGCAATCTGATCCTTTCCACTGTACTTCAAATTTGCCTGGAGGATCATAGAGTGTCTTTCAGGAAAATACCAAGTTAAAGTAGGAATTCAGCACTTATGTATTTTCTTTGTGATTGGTTATCATTTCCTTATCTAACTGAGTAGCTGAGCCCCTGTTTCTTTTCTCTGTCTTTTGATATGCATGTACCTGAGAAATAATTCTTTGTTCCTTTCAGTAGTTCTTGCTAACCTTAGCTCATTCTCAGCCTTTGCCTTCCTAACTCCATCTCTGCTACTTATCTGTATTCTTCCTTTGTGGACTGGCCTTCCTTCCACTTCCTTTATGTGTCCTTTTTTATTTTCAGGTGCTCTCCGAGCTTTTTATGAAGATTTTTGCTGTCTTCCACCCTTTTCTCTGGTTGGGATTGTTTATTGTTGTGCTTTCAGAATTTCCTTTTTAAGAAACTCCCACCAATCTTGGACTATTTTTCTTGTAAGGATCTCCTGCCATCAGACCTCACCTACGAGTTTATTAAAATTGGCTTTCCTAAAATCCAAGGTACACTCTGTTTTTGCTTCCTTTGAAATCAAAAACTCAAGTAGAACATAGTGACTTTTCCATGGAGTTCCCCTTCCTGCCATTTCCCCCACCAAGTCATCTGTATTGGTTAGAATCAAATAAAGGCTAATCCTGAAAATTTTTCCTCCATGTTTTGTAGGAAAAAAATATCAGCAACACAAGCCAGCAATTTCTTGGAAGGAACATATTTGGCAGATCTCAGAATAACTGAAATCTCCCATTATCAGTACATAATGTCTCTTTGAAATTCTTGCAATTTGTTTTTCAAAATTTTCATCCACATCTTCTCCTTTATTGGGTGATTGGTAGTAGACTCCAGCCACCATAATCCTTTTGGTGTTTTTTTTTGCCCCAATTATATTAATGTAGATGTTTTCAATGGGGCAATCAAGCAATTCCTTCTATATTTCTGTGCAGAAATTTTTTGCATATACTGTGACTTCACCTCCCTTTCTATTCTTTTTGAACAATTTATATCCTTCAGTTGCTGTATTCCAGTCATGTGAGTAATGTCACCAATTTTCAATTATCTTATCAATTTACCCATATTTACCCTCCTGAACTAAGATTCCCAGTTCTTCATGTTTGTTTCCCATATTCCTGGCATTTGTATATAGACCAGAAATCGTGTAATTTGTGGCCTGCTTTCCTTAGTACATTTTATTGAAGATTATTATTGTGCTCCATTAGAGATGCTCAGTCTGTTCCTCTTATTATGCATAAGCCTTCATCTATCTTTACCTCTGAATTTGCATCTCCCTCCCCCTTTCAATTCACTTTAAAGGAAGTTCTTCATACTGTGGCTAAATACATTCTTTCCAGTCCTTGAGAGGCACAACCCATCACTTGTTGGCAGTCCATGTTCCAGGAAGCATAACCCATGATCCCAAAATTTAAATCCCCCACAGTCGTACCACCTTTGAAGTCATTCATTTACTTGGAGCATTTCCCTTCCTCTTCTGAGTACTTGTAGGATGGACTAGACTAGAAGACTATCTGGGACCCAATGAGTTTCCTTTCCAGAGCGTCAATGTCTGATGTGATTTCTTTGTAGCATCTCCTGGCTGGGTCATTTGTTCACACATCAATAAGAAGAAAGGGATACGTATCTGTGGGTTTTATGAGTGATGGCAGTCCTTCCGTCACAACCCTCACACACCTAATCTGTCCTTCAGGGAGTAGCATACTTGGCAGGTCCTGACATATTTTAGTTTCAATGCCATGCAATAGGGGATCTCCTATTACTGTCAGGCAGAAACGAGGTGCATAAATCTTCTTTTATCTGATTGTCCAGTTCTGACTAGCTCATCATAAATGGTTACAGGTCAGCGTTCAGTTCAAACTCCCATGAAGCAAGGTACAAATTTATTAACTACTTTGAAAGGTTTGTTAACGCTTTTGTCTATACAGAGGGAAGAAATTCCAATCCACATAGCTCATAAACTAACTGCCTTAGAAGCTGCCTCAGGATCAGTGAATGGATGTGAACATTGTAGACTTGTCAGCATTACCAATTACTC